GAGCCGGGCTTCGAAGCTAACACTTTTCTGCATTCTCTCGCTACTCAACAATTCTCCCCAACATTATATTAAGACATGCATTTCCTATTATAAACCAAAATAATTAAATTTCCAGGCGGAAAAGTAGTATCCTAGAAATAGTATGGTTTAGTGTAAAAATTTAGTATCTGTTGGCCAGGTCGGGTCATCAAATGGGCACACTTTGCTTCCCCTCATTATGTGTTGTATTTTATGCTCTCCCTTTCTCTTTCACTTGCCCCATTTAGGCTGTCCCAGAAGCTGCGTTGCCTAGGCCCCTGCCTCGCTGACTCGAGCCTCGTCATCGCAGTGTTGCCGACAGCCAATCCAACCGGTGGCGCTGCTCGATGGTTGGCGTAAAAACAGCAAATAGACGAAATGGATAGAAGGTCTTGTCGCTGTGTTGCCTGACAAATTCATCACTCCGATTTACTAGAAGCGAGCAAAGCGGATTAAATGGGTGCAGCTCAGGTGTAGAAAGGCTAAAGCAGTCATGTATCTACTATGCTCTATCAAATGCTATACTGCATACAGTTTATAGTACACAATTAACGTACATATAGTGCCATCTTCACCCATCTCTGGCAGGCATCGTTTCATTTTGCTCTACTCACATTTAATTTGTATAAAGTCTCATAAATGGCAATCAGAATCCGATAAACCGGACATTTTAAAGTGCATTCATATTGCAAAATACATTATCTCTGGTGTTAGTATGCTTTAAATTATCCATAATTCGTGAATAAGAACAAAGTCACTCTAAGTCACAAAGGCTGATGGAAAGATTTGGGTTTCGAGAAATCTGTTGGTTCATATTTGATGAGCTGTCTTCCATTTCGAATGAAAGTGTTTGGTGAAGAGATTCGAAGGTCAATCGCACCAGAAGACGACAGCAGATTCCTCTTGACCAGCTGTTGATTGGCTTTACTGTCGTCAACAAGTAAAGAAGAATCCACCATCGTCTTCTGGTGGGATCGGCTTTCAAAGCTCTCCACCAAACACTTTAACTCGAAATGTAAGGAAGTGTAAAAATAGACTGCAAACACGAAGAGTTGCCAGGTTTTTATGAATAGCATTTTACTTCCTATGCAAGTACATACTGAAGAGATATTTTGTTTGGTCTCACCGGAAGACCACAGTCGATTCTCGTATTTCTGCAGTGGTTTAGCCTTACTACGATCTTTATGTTGATGCAGTCCAGAAGATATCCTCCCTCATGATATGGACAGTCAAGATAATTTCCTACTTCACTTTGACCAGAGTGAAAGAAATATTAAGTCCACAATGTAATTAAAAGAGAATAAGGGATTACCTTTTTTGATGTTGTGGTTATTAGGAAATGTGGTAAATTAGGCAGAGCTGTTTATAAGAAACCGGCATACGCTGGTTTTGTTCTGATGATCATCAAACTTAGATGATCTGTGGCAGACATTATTGCCGGTATTGCGTATACACGATAACACCCACACGGCTATTCAAGTATAAAAGAACTAATCAAACCGTTCTATATCCACCTATATCCAAATGTTTTTTTGTTATTAATATATATATATATATATATATATATATATATATATATATATGTATATATCATGTAGGATAGAATC